TTAACATTTATTGTTTTGTTATAAAATGAATTTTAAAATATTTATGTGGTTTTTTTAATGTGAAAAGATGCATTGCAGACTTTTGAAAGGAAAAGTAGAAGATTTTCTTTCCTGACTCAATGGCACCATGCCACATCTAAAAATGCTGAAAAGAAATTTTAAAACAGTTCATTGACTCAAGGATGTGAAGAATCTACACCAAAACAAATGACAAAATTATAAGTAAGAAACAAAAGTATAATACAATCTTTTCTTTTCCAGGCTTTCTGGATATTAAAATTTAGCTTATTGTGTGTGATACAACACATTTTGAATCAACTGATTACAAGAACTAGCTCCACTATAGCCTCATTTTGAGATCAATCATTAAAGAAAAAGAACTGAGTTTTTCAAATATAAATATGATGAGCTCTTTGAAATCCAACAAATATTTGTTACAGCTTAAAACTAACAGTGAACAATACTGCCACCGCATCTTCATGGATGAGTTATCGTATCGGCTAGAGAAGCATACACAATAGCTGAGATATTTCACTTTTCAAGAACTAATTATGTCTATATTTGAAATATTCAATACTTTTCAAGCAATTCTCTGTTTCCAAATAATGTTGCAATCAAACTGTCACAATAAAATTACTAGAAAATATTTTTTTCTGCCTGAATCACAATAAGGCAAATTATTGACATTTATAAAGTCGAAGAAATGATAGCTTTTGTCATTTGTTTGTTTCTTGTACATAGCTTTTCCATTTCATTTGGAGTATTATAGATTTCTCCTTTCCATATGTAAGAGACCTCTTTAAAATGCTCTGTCATTTATTTATTTTTTTTGCCACCTTTAGACATAGACAGTACAATGGTGGTGGAGAAAGTGAGTCTTTCAGTCCAGTGGAAGAATATGGCCAACAAAATATAAACAAATAGGAAAACAATAGTAAACTATAGTAACAAAAAACAAACAACAACAACAACAAAAAACAATACAATTGTGAACAGGGTCACCCAGGAAGGCCTTTCTAAGAATATCATATTTGATCTAAGAACTGAAAAATGAGAAAGATCCAGCTTTTCAAAGACCTGAGAGAAAAACAGACAGGAAAGGGTTTAAGTTCAAATCCCTGAGAATAAGAACAGCCTGGGGCCCTGAGAAGCTGCAGAAAAGAGAAAGGGTCAATGTGTCTTGAGAGGAGAGAACGGAGGTGAGCAGTAGTGGGTATTTGGGGTCAAGTGGTCAGGGGCAAGAACACGGGGCCTTATAGTCTTTGAAAAAGTGTTCTTGATTTTATTCCAACAGCAATGGAAAGCCAGAGTGTATCATGATTAGATTTACATTTATATGTTTAAAAATGTATTCCAGTTGCTTAGTGGAGAGTAGATTGGGAAGGGGAGTTTAGAATAAGAGATAACTTAGTCAACTTCATTGCACTTGCATATAATAGTTTGTTATTATCCTTGAACAATCCAAGTAATGAGTCCACCATAGTATTCTTAAATTCAGTGTCAGCTGTTTATATTTGTTTGTTTTCACAGATTGTATGGGACATTAGTTATGGTGCCATTAGTTATGATTATATGACTGGTGGCTAATTCAAATGGATTTGCAGAAACAATTTTTTCTAATTTTTTTTTTAAACTATCAGTGCTTTAATACAAAGACAAAAATAAATTTTCAGTTCCAAGAACTGGCATTTCTCTCAACATTGTCTGGCATGAGTTATAAAAATGACAGTTAGCCTTCAACTAGAAAATAGAATACCAGCCACGTTTCCACATGATCATAGGAACAGCCGTGCAAGGCTGAAACATTCTAATCTAAAAGGAGGTACTGACTAATAATGATTATTAAGTATTATTCAAAATAGTAAAAAGGTTATAATCAATAATAAAGAATCTAAATAACTGAGGTGAGCAAACTGGATGTCAAAATAGGGGAAAATGTGGATGGTCTCTTCAATATCAACAAAACAGCCTTGTGGTGACAACCCATCTGAGTATTTGTACACAAAGCATGGTTCTTTTCTTATACACAGTAGGTGTTAAATATACATCGTTTGAAAGAATAACCAAGTGCCTATTGAGTTAGATGAAGGGAAAAACCCTGCTAGGGGTGTCCTAGTCCTGGGTAACTATGTTGCCCTCATGTCTACTTCTTTCATGGAAATTGCATTCAGGTACTTCTTTCTTCCTTTTCCAGAAAGTTAAGAGAACTCTTTTTAAAGAATTACAGGAAGTAATTTGTATCTTGATGCAAATTGTATGGCCACTTTCTAATAATGTCCCATAATAAACTGAGTCTAAATAGCAGGTGATATGACTAAATTGTATCATGACTGACCCAGGTCTTCCATTTAATGGAACAGTGAATGCTATGGTTTAACAGGCACACAAACAACAATCTATGACAAGTACTGTTGGTCTTCAGTTGTGGGTTTAATGCATCCACACAGACACATGGATGTACATACACACACAGTCTTAACATCCAGAACTAACTCCCTCCAGAAAGAGCACTACTATTTTATATTTTGACCCTCGACTATTGCTGAGCAGTACCTTGAAAAATACAGTGTGGGGCAAAAGTAGGTTTACAGTTGTTTATATAAAAATAATGCAATCTACACTAATAAAAGAGAAATATGTAAATTGACCATCATTTTGCACCACCCACTAGCCAATCAGGAGTGAGTATGCAAATTAGTGGGACAAAGATGGCAGCAGCCATGAAGCCAGTCAAAGCGGTTGGGACACTTGGGTCCCTCCTGATGATGGAGGAAGCCAACCTTCCCACCCGATCTGGCCAGCTGTTGAAGGAGGGGCTTGTGGGTGGTAGTCACAGAGCCAGCCTGAGGACGGGAGGCTTGGTTACCAAGGCCAGCTGCTGAGGTTGGGGCCTGAAAATGGTCCTCAGCCCCTTACCTTAGCTGGCCACATCTCCATGGGGTGAGGGTCCTTGCTTAAGGGCATGGCCAGCCTGCAAACAACCATCAGCCTTTTACCCAGGCTGGCCAGGCACCCCAGTAGGGGTGCCACCCTGAAGGAGGTGTGCCCAGTCTGAAAACAGCCCTCAGTCCCTCACAAAGAATTTTCAATCATTGTACTGTTGATATTTGGCTCTGTTGACTAATGAGTTTGCTGACCACTGATCTATACTAATAAAAGGGTAATATGCTAATTAGACTGGGAGACCTTCCAGGAGACTTTCCGGACATTCTTCTGGACAAAGCCATGGTGGTGGGGCTGAGTTAGAGGTGGTTAGGGGCCAAGAAGAGAGGGCAGTTGGGGGCAAGCATTCTGGCAGGGGGTAAAGTTGGGGGTGAACAGGCCAGCAGAGGGGTACAATTGGGGGCAAGCAGGCCATCAGTGGGGGTCATTCGGGTGCAATTAGGCCAGCGGATGGGGCAGTTGGGGTGAGCAGGCTGGCAGTGAGGGGCAGTTAGGGGCAAACAGGTTGGCAGGGGGGGCATTTGGGGGTGAGCAGGTTGGCAGGGGAGCAGTTGGGGGTGAGTAGGTTGGCGTGGGGGAAGTTAGGGGTGAGTAGGCCAACAGGCAGAGTCATTAGGGGCAATCAGGCAGGCAGGCAGGTGAGCAGTTAGGAGCCAGCAGTCCTTGATTGTGAGACGGATGTCGACTGCCCTCCACAGGGACTGGGTCTAAATGTGCAGTCAGACATCCCTCGAAAGGTCCCAGTTTGGAGAGGGTGCAGGCTGAGCTGAGGGACACCTCCCCTTTCTCCCCCCATGCATGAATTTTGTGCACTAAGCCACTAGTCATGAATAAATAACAATATAAGCATAAAATCTGTATTTCAAATATTCACAACTGTAAACCAATTTTTGCCCCACCATGTATTTCTAACTTTACAAGATTTTAAATTTATAACAGATATCCTAGTAGTAAAATAAAATTAAATTTCCGAGTCATCTTTTAAATTGGAAATGATGTGACTCCAAGATAAATTATAGGCTTTGAAGCCTTTGCCCATAAATAAAAGAAAATCCAGTTCAAAATAACTGAGAGTAGAAGGACTCATATTATTCTTAATGCAGAGACCCTCAGGGGAGCATGACTGCAGAAGGTTACTATTGTACCAAGCCCAGTGAACAGGTAAGGACTCACTTCTCCAGCTCTCTATTCTACTCATCTTGAGCTCACTGTCAATATGCATACCTTGTCACTACTATTATTATGGAGGAAAACTTTCTCAGAAGCCCTCCTGTGGGCTGACCTTTTTATCATGAGGACTGCATGCCTTTTTCAAAATCAATTCCCAGGCATAGAAGGGAGACCATCATTTTGGGTTTCTATCACCTAAGGACTCCTCCGAGGCTCATGAGAATGGAAGCTACCCTGACATTTATGTGCAGATAATGAACAGATACCTACGCCTGCTGTCGGTTGAGAGGAAGCAGGGGAGAATGGGTGATGAGTAGACACAACATGGCATGAAAAGTTAGGGAAAAGATTGGATGAAAAAGAGATTGTGCAGTCCACCGGAGCCTTAGGTTTTACATCTTAACTCTGTGCTTCCAATATTTCATTTGAAAATTGTGTTTCAACAATTGATAGAATCATTCAAATCAGACAAAATACTAGTAGTTGTATCTAGAATAAATGAAAGTTTACCCAAATTTTGAATTATCTATTGCGTATATTTTACAAAAATACCTATTGTCCAATTATGGACTTAGAAATAATAAGTTAGATTCATATCTGATGATTTGAGGACAGAATGGCATTGGAAGGTTAAAAAAAAGATTATTTTATATTGATAAAAACTCTATAGGGGGATAACAATATGTTATATAAGTTAACATTTCAATCAATATTATCATGCAATTCTGATTTAAGCATTTAATTTCACCTAATGTGGATTTTTTAGGCAGATTTCTGAATCACTTAATGGTATGTTACACAGCACCATGTAATGGTATGTTACTCAACACTTATTATTCTCTAATAAATGCAGAATAACATTAATTGTCTTTTTCTCAATTTTTAAGATCCTGAATTTAAGGACCTTGGAGTTTTGAAACCATTACCAGGTTGGTAAAATAGATTTTTAATAATGTTCAGAGGCCTTTGTTTTCTGCTATGAAATATACTTTTGGTTTATTATTCAAGCTCCATTTTTGTGTTTGTTTGGCATTTTGTTATTTAGTGTGTGAGTTTGAAGTGGGCGGTCCTGAAGGAATTGTGGAATCTATACAAATTATGAAGGAAGGCAAAGCTTCTGCTAGCGAGGCCGTTGATTGCAAGTGGTACATCCGAGCACCTCCACGATCCAAGGTCAGTCTCAAGGTCAAATCCAGACTGCACAGTTGACTTGGTGAGTGTCTACAGCCTGTACAACCTTCCAGCAAACGGGATGTGCTCAGTGCATTTCAGAGCACCACAATAAGCTATCATTTTATTTGGGTTTTGAAATGCAACTTGTCTTCCCCCCGCTTGGTGTAACTTTCATATCATACGTAATATGGAGATGGTGCTAAAGATCATTAGATGGTGCTAAAGATCATATTCTGAACAATAGACTCTACCATAGCTCTACTCCTCTGAAAAATGTATTGAAATGCTACACATAAGCAAAGATTCTAAGTATAATTAAACTTATGCTTTTTAACCTAAAATCACATTGAGGAAAGAAATACTCGGGGTTTACAAATCCACAGATCTCTGGCAGATAAAATAGACCCGTGAAAAGATCCCTGGCAAACAGGAGAGTGTTAGTGATACCTGGAAGTGAGTGATGCAAGCGACCGAATCTATATCAGGGAAAACAGTTTCCCTGTGGCAGAGGGGATAACAGTAAGTAGCAATCCCCATCATGGAGAGTATGATGGTAGGCAGATGAAGAAAACTGTACCTGTACATACTGCAGAAGTTGGTGGCTGGATATTTAGGACAAAGGGAAGAAGGGTCATCTTTGAGGGAGTCCATATTTCAGGATATACTTTTGTCTTTCTTCACTTGGTTTCTCCTGCTAGGACTCTGGGATCTGCATATAATTTGGAAATGTGGCACCTTTCCCCCAAATCTTAAGCATGGAGGTTCAGAGACCATGCTTCACCTCCCAGCTTTATCACTTGCAGGTCACTTTGCATCTAAACAAACCTTTGAAAAAATTAATTGCATAGCCAAGAAAGGCAGTGAGTGGTTCCTTCTTAAAAAAAACAAGATTATTGGTGCCATAAAACTCAACTCGCTTCATCTGTTTACAAAGGAGCTGAGTTGCTCTTTTATGTTCTTTGACATAATCTGTGGTTTCATGTGCACGTGCTACATTTTTCTTAAACTCTGTGAATGAAAGATTTTTTTTTTTAAGTATTTTTTTCAACTGGACATATATGAGTACCACCTTATTGTCACAGCCAGCATCTTCATCACTATCACTGTTACAGAGAGGGATTTAATGGGAGTATAAGCACACACCTTCTCCCAGCTGGTAAATAGGCTGTCTTTTGTACAATCTCGGAACAACAATACCCAATGTACCTGTCTGTTACAGAATTTGACATTCTCTAACCCAAATGGGAAGCCACCTGCAGAGCTTGACAAAGATGGCTCAATTGTGACAGGCTTTCTCTGTTAAATTAAAGGTTACAGTATAAGGAAGTAGCTTTGAATAACTGGATAAAAGCAAGAACTGGAGGTGACTGCCTATGTGGGTTTTCTATTTTTATGGAGTTCCTAGCAGCTTATGAGAAAAGATGATTAAAGTAAAAATTAAACTGGAACTGGCTCTGGGTGAATATTTGAATGATAACTGGTGATTGAAACATCTTACTTATTGGGCTTTATTAAAACGCACATGAAGTATATAAATGAAGAATACAATAAATGCTATTGGCTTTGTTTGAGAATAGTGACACAGATGGTCACCTTTAATTAGAATGTGATTAATCCAGTTTCTTAGAATTTAGAATACAGTCAGGGAGAACTTTGGAAATCTATTACTCATTAGCTTATTTGACAGGTGAATAAGCTGAGTCAGGGTGATGAAGTTTTTATAAGGGTGAACAATGGGATGAAGGAAAATGCCTTTGTAAGCGAGTCTTTGGTATTCATATAGCTTCTAGAGCAAGGATGGTGGAAGAGTATCATGCTGCCTTGTTCTGGGTCTGGTCCAGAAACAAATGTTGGGTGAGATCAAATCATGTTAACTATTTGAATGTTAATTTCACGAAATTTGGCTTACTTATTAGTGCCAAGCAAAATGTTTGTCATCCAGTTAAAACTCATGGAAAAAATTAACTGATGACTGTCTAGAGAAATGGACATGGTAGCAATCTTACAACTTTTGAAGGACTGTCATCTGACAGGGATCAGCGGTTAGGCTAGTCTGCTGGGGTTTAGTACTGCAATGTATTTGAATGTTTGAACCTGGAGAAATATAGCTTTTGATTCAATATAGATAAGGTTTTTGTTTTTGTTTGATCTCCCCAAAGATCAAATGAAATTCTATCGGAGGAATCCAAGTAGTTTGGCAAGGGTTTTGTATAATAATTTTTAAAAATCAAGTGAAGGGGTGCAGATAATATTAAACTCCTTTCAAGACCAAAACTTGATGAGTCTGTAATGGATGACTGCCCAAATATTTGTCTAGTGAGTAACAGTGCTGAAAAAGATTTTCATCTCCCAATTCCCAGTACAGTCCATAAAAACACACTATGTGGGGAAGTGGTCAAATTTGTAAGTCAGGAAAAGAATTTGGTTAAAGGCATATAACAATGTATAAATGAAGATAATTTAATAACTTTAGGTCTTGGGAGAATAAAACTCTAGCTTTTAGTAATTACCCAACATTTAAAACTCCAAATTAATTTTGAATACATTGTTCCTTAAATCTTTGAATAAAGTTAGGCTAAAATAATCATAAAACTTGACAAATATAGTAAGTCAGTATTTCATAGTGATGTTGTGTTAATTATATAATGAGCTTAATTGCTGGAGGCAGAATCTTAAAGATGACCCCTGAGATTCCCAGCCTAGTCTCTAGGACAGGGAATGAGATAAAATATCACACACTTGATTATGTTAAATTCCTGGCAAAAGGGATTTTGCTGATGCAATTAAGGTTCCCAATCGGTTCACTCTGAGTTAATTAAAAGAGAGCTTATCCAGGTGAGCCTAATGTGATCACCGGAGCTTTTTAAAAGTCAGAGTTTTCTCTTGCTGTGGACAAAGGGGAAGTCAGAGAGCGAAGAGCTAAGACTGACTTCCAGGAGCTAAAAAGGATCCCTGGTAAATAGTTAAGAAAAGAAGCTGCAAAGACTTGGGTTTTCTGCCATATATATATATATATATATATATATATATATATATATATATACTCTTAACAGAGACCACAGTTCAGCTTCCTCGTATTTGTAACCTACAGAGATGATAAATGGGCATTGTGTCAGGCCACTCAATTTGCCATAATTTGTTACAGAGCAAGGAGGAAACTAATTCAATAGACAAAGGGTAGTTATCTAATGGATCACAGTGATACCTTTTAGGGTTCTAAAGATGGAGTTTGCCTTTGTTATCTCAAAAAAAGGGAAATGAACATTTGGTAAACAACGTGAAAAATTTAACTGGCTAGATGATTACCAATGAAAAGATCATAGTTCAGTTTTGTTTCTCAATGATATCTCAGTTTTGCACTACTGGGTTTTGGAGGCTACTCAGATGGACTTTTTAAATGTTTGATATTTGCTTATTGTGACCTGAAAATGATGTTTATTCGGTTATATTGAGATTTGTTGTAGGGTGTGTGTTTTATCAACATTCCAGAAAAGAGGCTGTCTAGTCACAATCAAACAGCAACTGCACAAGTCCTGTGTGTGTGTGTGTGTGTGTGTGTGTGTGTGTGTGTGTGTTTAGAGAGAGAAAGAGAGAGAAAAGAAGGAAGAGGGAGAGAGGAGAGAAGGATTTGATGTGAGAAACATAGATCAGCTCTCTCCTACATGTGCCCTGACTGGGAATTGAACCAGCAATCTTTCAGTGTCAAGGGCTGCATGCACATTTTTTTTAATATGGCTTTATTTATCGAAGTGTAAAGTTTTGAAGCCATAGACAGTGTTTCTCAGACTGTGTGTATTTAATTTGTATTTATCTTGGAGAAAACTGTTCTGCCAAGTCTTAAATTACTGTCCCAAACAATGCTTGTTTTCTATACATCACCTGGATTTGAAGGGAGGGACCAGGTTGAATGGTCAGGATTAAATGTTAGTAAATATATTACTTAGCAAATTGTTGGTTAGATTTACTTGCTGTAAGTATACAAAAGGGACCCTGTTCTCCTTATTAATGCGATGGGAAGACAGATATTGCTAGAAATTGCTTATGCATTCCGAAGCTTCCCAAGTCGAGTTTAATAAATCATTTTGTCAGCTCGAACTTTGTGATTGATTTGAAAGAAGAATGCATCCAAATGATTTACCGAGAGATTATAATTGGACTATTTTACTGGAGTTATAGATGATTCTGTTGATCATTTTCTCTTTTCCTCAGCAGAGAGAATGGAGAGACCCCTGTCGTTTACTCCCTTGAGTAAAAACATTGTCATGTGGCACCCTTCCCCTCAGTGATGCTATGGCACGAGCTTTAACTGCTGGAATGTTATTTAAGTCGTAATGCAGGGAGGCTTTTACCTGAGGCCTGGTAGAGTGAGTGTGAGAAACCTGGGTCCCTTTTCTGGCTAATGACATTTGAAGTAACAGCCCAGCACCCAGCAAAGCTAAATACCCACTGGCTTAGTTAGATTTCTTTTCTTGATTGGTAAGGAAAAGTTAAAATTAGTATTCAGTCTAACAAGAATGACCCTAACTATAGAAGGCACATAGACGTAGGGCATTGCAGTTCACGTAAGAATGCAAATCAATCACTTTTTAGGGAAAATAAGGCTTCTCTCTAGAACTGTCACATGAGCGAAAGTGGGTGGGATATATACACTGCCTCTCTAACGGTAGCAATATTCTTCTTTCAAATCACTGTATCTCTGGAGAAAACTGAAGACAGCCATTGGCTTCAGAGGGACACATTTATTTTCCATGAGCCCCACTTATATATCAATGGCCAATGTTCCCTTGCCCCTTTAGGGAAAGGGAGATGGTTTTGCTTATTTTCTAATTTTGTTGTAGCTTGTTTACTTTAAGATTTTAACTTTCTTTATGGAATATAAGCCTGTGAAAAATTTAAAAATATGTATGTGAGACTGTGTAGTGTGATACTAAGGGGCATATTGTTGAGAAAAGCTGAATTCATTACCGCTCTTAGGTGCCTGTGTCATTTTGAGAAAGAAAATTAGGTTTTCTAAACCTTGTTTGTTTCATTTTAAGATGGTTATGACAAGTGTTCCTTATAATTCTGCAATACACTGTGTCTTTTGGTTTTATGTTATAGTTCAGAGTTTTATAAATATGTTGTTTTGAAAATTATTGTATTAAATTAATGAAAATGTCCTTTCTTCTATATCATTATCCTTATGTGTGGCACTTAAAACCCTGGAATTTAAATATATGTGATGGATGTTGAACAAATGAAGTCAATAAAAACAAACAAACAGAATTTCCAATCAACCATTGAACTAGATCTTAAAAATTCAGGAAGAAGTTGATAGACAGCTAATGGAAAATGCTTACTTCTTGTAGAAGTTATGTTATGTACATAAAAGTGACTGTGTGATGTTCAAAGATAAGAAGGAAAAGTTGCCAGTTTTTGAATTTAATATTTTTTTAAATTATAACCATTTGGAAGCCAGTGAAAGATTTTAGTATGAGTATTAGATTTGCTTTTTTAGAAAATTTTGCTGGGGCAGGCATTGGAGGTGAATTACAATAGAAAAACACCCAGGACAGTTAGGAAACTTGAAATATCACAGAAGAGTCAGTGGAGGTAAAAATTAAACACTTTTTTGAGGGTTAAATTAATAAGAATTAGTGCCCCACTAAATGAGAATATTGAAAACAGAAGATAAATTTCTTATATCTGAAATAATTTTTTTTTACAGTATGTTTTTATTGATTTCAGAGAGGAAGGGAGAGGCAAAGCGAGATAGAAACATCAATGATCAAAGAAAATCATCTATAGGCTGCCTCCTGCACACCTCCTTACTGGCAATCTAGGCTGCATGTGCCCTGACCAGGAATTAAACCATGACCTCCTGGTTCATAAGTCAATGCTCAACCACTGAGCTACACCATCTGGGCTAATAAAATTTATTAATGTGGGGACGGAGGAAAAGATCTGGAAAAAAATTGTCTTATAAGATTCACAGATTGTAAGAAATAAGAAAAAAAGAATATTGAGTGATGAAAGGGTTAAATTTGTAATTGAATGCATGTCTTTAGTGTTTATGTGACCTTACCTAGTAATAGAAAAACATGTAAACTGACCATACCTCCACTATGCCCACAGACAATCAGAGTGAGTATGCAAATCAACCTAACAAAGATGGTGGTTAATTTGCATACATAACTGGGTCCTAAGAACCTCCTTGGCACCCAGGTTACTCCCAGCCAGCCATCAAAGGGGCGTGGGTCCCCCTTTGCAAGCCTAAGGCCTTGGGCAGAGGCTTTAGTCTTGGGAAGGGGCTGAGCCAGCAATTGGAGGGACTGGGGTCCCCCTGCCCAAGCCTAAAGCCTGGCATTTGGAGGGAAGGGGGAAAAATCAATGGGAACATATCCTCAAGTGAGAATAAAAAGAAAAATAAAGAAATGTCATATCCTATGAAAGACACATCTTAAACATGCCTAAAGGAAGTTGTCATTTTTTCATGATGAAAGGACTAGAGTCTGTGTTGATGAAAACACCTTGGTGACTGTGGTGACTGGCAGTGGCTGCAGCAGTGGGGTGATGGTACTGGTGCCTTCCCCTGATCAGCCCTGTCGTCTCCTGCAAAGGGAGGCCAGACAGTGAAGCCATCAGTAGGACATCTCCTGAGGGCTCCCAGTATGTGAGAGGGGGAAGGCTGGGCTGAGGGACCCCTCCACAGTGCATGAATTTCATGCACCGGGCCCCTACTACATTAATAAGAGGGCATTTAAGAGGAAATAACCTATAGGAATTTATGTTTAAAAAAATGTAAACACTTCAGAAACATCTGTATGGAAGATGCCTTCTTAATTCCAGAACCCACCCACATAGCCTTCTTAGGGTGCCTGAGTTTTCACTTCTCACAGTTTGACTTTCATGGTTGGGCCATGATTTAATGGACACACATTTTCATCCCTGGCCCTCATCTTCATGTTCCCCATTCCATCCTCAGTGCCTTGAGTAGTGTCCAAGACAAAGTAAGAAGCCAGGGGTTAGATATTGCTGAATTAGTGGATAAATGGACACACGAATTCTTTTTAAAATCTGTCATTGGTTGAGTTAATTGCTTATAGTTTTTAATGCACATTGGAACAGAGTCAAATCTTAACTGTTGATCATAAAAGTATGTTCAAAGCAGTGTGATTGTGTGGGAGGATTATAAACCAAGGAGTTAGAAGGACCTCATGTCTAATTTCCAGTTTATACCATGTGGGTTTTTTTTCATTTGAATGTGGCAATAAAACTTTATAGAGTTGTAGGGAGTCTTTAAAAATAACCTATAAAGTAGATTTCATAGTAGTTTATACTCATTAAATGTTAATTTAATTTGTATTTATGTGGCCTTGGCTAAATGACTATTCTCTATATTATGTTGAAAAGAATTGTAGGTTAGCTATATATATATAAAATCTAGCTCAAAACTGAAGCAGCGAAATTATGTGAAACAATTTCAAAATAGCAAAGTCAGAGACTACCTTTTGATAACTTTCTATTTTCCTTTGGTATTAATATTGATACAAATTATATATATCTGTATATTTTTTAAAGTAAGTGGGAGCCACGGAACTTTAACAGGTATGCATCAGGAATCTTACCTAATAAAAGAATAATATGCAAATTAACCACCATTCTGCTACACCCACTAGCCACGTCCACCAGCCAATCAGAGTGAGTATGCAAATAAACCCAACCAAGATGGCTATGGCCATAGAGAACAGGAAGGAGGCTTGGGTTTCCCAGGCAACAGAAATAGCCAAGCTTTCTACCTACCCTAGCAGACCTAAGCCTCCACTCCAGGCTAGAAAGTTTCAATTATAGAATGTAAATAAATTCCAGATACCAGGGCCTCCAATTGTTTTGCCAGGGGACATGGCTGGCCTGCAAACCACCCCACGCCCCAAGGAAACCCCCACATGATCTGGGACACCCTTTAGGGCAAACCAGCCAACCCCCACCTGTGCACCAGGCCTCTATCTTATCTAATAAAAGAGTAATATGCAGATTGACCATCACTCCACACACAATAGCTTCCCCCATGTGGTCAAAGATCCTGCCCCCATGTGGACACAACATGTCCACCACAGGATGGCCAGCAGGAGAGGACAGTTGGGAGGCACCAGGTCTACAAGGGAGGGCAGTTGGAGGCCATCAACCCTGCAGGGGAGGGCAGTTAAGAGTAACCAGGTCGACAGAAGAGGGAAGTTGGGGACAAACAGGCTGGCAGGGGAGCAGTTACACATCAATCAGATTGGCTGTCAGGCAGAAGCAATTAGGGGCAATCTGGAAGGCAGGCAGGTGAGCAGTTGGGAGCCAGCAGTCCTGGACTGTGAGAGGAATGTCCGACCGCCCATATAGGCCTGATCTAAATGGGCAGTCAGACATCCCTCGAGGGGTCCCAGGTTGGAGAGGTTGCAGGCTGGGCTGAGGACCCAGAATTTCGTGCAATGGGCCTCTAGTATAAATATAACGTATTTGTGCTGTTATAAGGAGAAATAGGACCATTTGGGGTAAAAATCAGCCTGGAAAATGGGACATTTACATAAAGAAAGGATAATAACATTTGAAAAAATATGAAACACAATTTAAACTTACTCATACATCCTTCCTTCTTGCTATCCACGGGGAAAAATAATACCATTGATTGCAATCAAGACTGTCTTGTGAGTCTGAGAAAGAGAAAGAGAGTTCTCATACTATACTTCTTTCACATTTTGATTCAGGGAAATTATTGTGTCCTCTTTGTGTTACAGATCTACTTGCGATTCTTGGACTATGAGATGCAGAACTCTAATGAATGCAAGAGGAACTTCGTGGCCGTGTACGACGGCAGCAGTTCAGTGGAGGACCTGAAAGCCAAGTTCTGCAGCACGGTGGCCAATGACGTCATGCTGCGCACAGGCCTGGGGGTGATCCGCATGTGGGCGGACGAGGGAAGTCGGAACAGCCGATTTCAGATGCTCTTCACATCCTTTCAAGAACGTAAGCTTCTGGGCTGGCTGTTCTTCCCATGCGTGCAGTGATGCAGATCTCCTAGCTATTAGTGGTGTCTTCTCGGTGCAGTCTTAGCCCAGCAGGATGTGCTAGGGTAACTTACTGAAATCGTGGAAAGTCCCTTTCTTTCTTTGGAATCCAGTGACAGGAGAGAGTTTTACACATGACATTCTGACTACTCATGTATCAAAACTTTAAGACAATTGCCACTATTTGGCTGGGAAATGATGAGTTCTCTGTATTTGGCTGAGCTCTTACAAAGCTTACAGAACTGATACAGCAGCGTCTGATGTAGTTTGAGTGTAAATCTTAAAGACATATGTAGAATTATTTGGTAGGTTTTCTTCAGTAAGCTTATCTTGCAGTCCCATTTATTTCAAATAAGTCTGCACCTACAGAGTGTCTATTAAAATAGGCAAATAGAAAGAAATGCTTGGGAAGGGAGTAAATATAAAAGGTTTCAGAAAATATATAAAATGGCACAATGCGTGATACCCAGACTAAAGTGCAAAGCATAGTAACTTCAGAAAATTATGTTCTAACAAATAATGAGTCATATTCATAGATATATATTGTATTTGGGATATTCTTTAGAAACCTTGAATAATAATAAATGAACGCAAATAGAAAATAACTGAGAAATTTACCTTTAACAAATTGGCACCTTGTAATTTAAAGCTAAACATTTTCAAATGTGTCTGAAATGTCAAGGATTTCTCAATGATAGGCACAGTAGCCCATCTTTTTTTCATTTCATAAACGCTAAAGCTATCAGACAGTTCTTTCATATAGAGAATAAATAGTTCAGGTCTTAAATTCCTTTCTAATTATCCAGTTCAAGAATTCTAGGATCCCAGAAGTATTGAATGTCACTCAGTCTTTTTAAACCTTGATATCATCATAGATGTGTTAAATAACTTTCCCAGAATTATTGCAGACTTAAAAAGCAGGTTGCTATCTATTTCTTCATTTCAGTAGTTGATCAAAATGTTAGAAATAGTCCATCTTTATTTCAGCAAGGTATTTAAGGGGGGAGAAGGGGAAGAATACCCAAAATTCTTGTCATTTTTTAAAGAAATTCAGGCAATATTGTTCCCTTCCAGCTCTAAGATTGATAAAGATCTATGAGTATTTAATTTTTTTTCTTATATAAGAAATGGTGAATGATATCATACTGTGCATATATTGTTAGAAATATTCCTACTTGAATAAAAGTTTCCATGGCATATAATTTAAGTTATTTCCAGAAGTCATTTAAGTGGGTGGACTTTTCAATGACTAATCCAGAAGATACAGGATACTCTTCCTTCATAGAAAGGAAGCACTCTACGTTTTATGTTCCTACACAGTAACAGGTGATTGCTCTCATTTGAATGATGAGTATTACAATGGCATTCTTCGTGATTATCTCATAACTTTACAATAATCTTCCATTGAAACTAATTTAATTATTGCCTTTATGGCTTTGCTTTGGTATTTATCCAATCGAGATAGGCACAGATAGAGGTACTGCAAAAGAGACTGGAACATTTTTAAGTATTAAGTGTGACTTGTATTCTTTAAGAAAGATCACTTACTTAACATTTAAATATATTCTGAAGTGAACTGTAAAACTTATTAAACATCGTCATCACGCAACCTTTGTTTAATCATCAGAAATATCAAAAGATCACAGTGTTAGTAACTAAAAGGCCATTTTGAGAGGTTAATGGTATGCCTAGCAGAAGGCCTCCTGGAGGATTAAAGGTAATGACCTTCCATGATCTCAGTGGGAGCCAAGGGGTGATCGCAAACAGATATATGGGTGTGACTTTAGTGAAAGAGAGCAAAACCTAATGAATTTTAAGCAAGGTCCACAGGGTTCATGAGAAAATTATTTCAGCACAAACACTGTCAACTTGGATTGAAAGGGTCAGCAAGTACAAAATGCAGAAAGATTGTCAGAAAACCAAAATCCTAATGGTGTGAAGCAAGTGATAAAACTACTCAGCTGCAAACATATGATACCTTTCATGAGAGAAAAAAAAAAAGGATGACTCAGACAACAGAAGCAAGAGTTGGCGGGAAAAGTCCACAGCTATAGAAGATTAAGTCCTAGAACCTGAAACATAATCAAGAAAAATCCAAGATTTTCCCCTGCTGGATTTTAAAATTGTCATGGACCAGTGGCTTCTGTTCACTCTCTTTTTGGTGAACCAGAATCTATACATGCTGTCTTATGGCTGTCCCACCATTGTGTGTTGGGAGTGTTGGGGCAGGTAGCTTGTCTCTTTGGTTTCATGAGTATATACCTAGAGAGAAACTATACCCTTGGGACTGAAGGTCAGGCTTCTTCAAGGTCTGCTCTCAGGATCCTCATTTGTGCCATTTTAGATGACTGAGATGGTGAAAGTGTTGACTTTGAGCTGGTGAAATTAGGATGATATTTTGGACTTTGAGTTGATGTGGTAATGGAGTGATACTCTTGTGAGCCTTGGGAAAGGGTGAATGTATTTTGTACCTGAGAGGGAAAGGAGGCATTAGGGCCAGCAGGTGGCCTATGTTAAGCAGAATTTTGTGATGATGCCAATATTTTCAATCTGAGTGAAAAAGACATATATATCCATCCCTTTGAGTGCAATAAAAATCTGTGAATATCATGGGGTATTACTCCATGAGCATGTTACATTATGTGACCAAAAGGTTATTATATAAGTAAGTAAGGCCCCTAATCACTTGACTTTGAATTAATCATAAAGGAAACTTTCCTGATTGGTCTAATTATATACAAAAGATATTAGTAATAACTTTTATGCCCCTTAAAAGGTCTAAACATCAGAATGGAAGAAGCCAGAACTCTCAGCTGTAGAAAATACTCTTAGCCTTAAGGGATTGCATTGCCATGTTATAGATGGAGCCATTTGGCAGAGAATGGTGGGGAATGTCCAGGGCCTGAGTTTGTCCCCCAGTTGGGAGCCAGTAAGAAAGCAGGAACTGAAGTCCTAAAACCCCAAGGGACTGAATTCTTTCAATAACCTCTATGAGGTTGGAAGATAAGAACCCAATCCACAATTCTAATACTCTAACGGAGCCTTAATTTTAACATTTTGACATCCTAAGGAGAGAACTCACTCAAACCAGACTTCTGACCTACATAACTGAGATAATAAATGGGTCTTGTTTTAAGCCTGTAAGTTTGTAATAATTTGTTAATTAGTAGTAGAAGACTAAAACATTCACTTAATGTGATGGATAATCCAAATGTCAATCTATCTATGTTAGTATATATTACTTAAATATATTAAATACTATATTATTATTTTTAATTTGATAGTTTGGGAGATATAGAAAAATGTAACTGTAAGCAGGATAAGAAAAATATTCACCCCAACATCAGCTTAACCTTGAAGTTGGATATCTATTATAGTTTTATTAATCTAATCATCAGTAAGTTTTCATTTTTATACTAATTGTATTCCTCAATCCATTCATTTGTCCCTCTAGTAAACCCAGAAACACCCAGGCACTGATGGCAACCAGATGGATAAGATGCTTGTTTCCTTTGAGGTGCTAGCACACTTATTCAAATTAAATTCAAGGGTGTGACTTACTTCAAAAAATGTTCAATTATATCTGGTACTCTGCTCCACACTCCCACCACACATTTCCTCATTTACATTAGTAAGTTATGTACTCTAAAGCATGTTCTAAAAAGTCTAAATCTTTCCTTGTAGAGATTTTTCTCCATCATTGTTTTTAGTTGGATCTCTACTCTTCTGTGAGGTGATTGATTATTATTTCACAGCTCAGTGTTATTATCTTTTCTTGTCTGGGACATTGTTAAACCTGCCATCTGCCTCTTGTGCACATAATTTGCATTCTACACTGGATAGAACAAATTCCTAATTTTTTGACACACAAATAAAATTGTCATATCACCTCAGTTAACTAATTTGATGGATCCTAAATGGAAAAAAATATATAGAGATTATCATTCAATAATCAATGTAAAAATACTCAGAGTTCAGTAATACTGTGGTGAATATATACCAAAAATATTAATTATTCTCAACTTGCAACCATAATATTTAATTTTCTCACCAGAAAAACCAAGACCAAACATGTTTACATATTTGGGGTGAGTTCTAAGATCAAAAGTCATTGTATTCACTATGTGCTTCCTCAAGGAAAGAAAATATTACCAGTAGAGGAAGCAATATTACCAATTATAGCATAAACTAAAATGTAAATTGATGTTTTATTGATATAGATCTCCAGTCTCACCATTATGAGTTTGTATATTTTAAAAGTACTAAGACTTCTGTGTTAATATAAAAATATCCACTTATATATGTCATACAGCCATATAAGTAACAGATGGCATAGATTTCAATTAGCAGCAATATACAAAATATGCTGAAAAAATTGCAGAATGTGCCATATTTTGGTACATCTTTCTAAAATAGATATAGATTATATAATATGGATAAAGGAAACTATCACTATACACAGACCTACAAAATTTTAAATATGCATTTATATATAAACATAGGTAAAATAAAAAAGGGAAACACTAAACTGGAGACCAAATGGCAGCATAAAGGAGAGACAGTGAGTAAATATTGTTATGATTTAAATAATAAAGTTTATATAAGACAATATGAAAAAGTTCTATAGGCAAACCAATAGAAAATGGGGCAAATGAAGTGAAAAAATTATATAGAAGCATAAATGGCTCTTGGTAAAGGAAACAAAAAACTTTACATATTGGTAAACAAAGATATGTAAATCAAATAGGAATGACATATCATTTTCTTCCATCAGAATGTTTAAAAAATAACAATGAAATACCTACTTTTGGAGTTGATGTGATGAAATAAAGAAATACTATAGGCTAGTAGGAAAGGAAAAGTTTTCAAAAAGGCAATTTAGCCCTATTTATCAAAATTCTAAACTAGGTTAAAAATTATAGATATAGATATAGATATAGATATAGATATAGATATAGA